CTCTGTCTGTGTCTCTATTTCTGCTTCGTGAATAAGGTCACCTAGAAGTGTCGCCACTTCTAACTTTCTGTTAAAGAACAGCAAACTGCTCACGCCTGCAGTCTCCTGCCACCCACAGCCAAGGGTAGTCCCGTCTCGACCTCTGACCCCTTAGATCAGTGTTGCTTGTTTTTGTATGTGCTCTTTTGTGTCTGGCCTCTTTTCCTCAACATTAACCTTGCTGTGGCGGATCATTCATCCTAATTAAGGCACAAAATTACATTGTGTGGATAGACCATGATTAACGTACCCATTCCACCCCCTGGTGGACCTTTGGATAGGTTCCAGGTTGGATCTATTATGAATGGTGCTACCAAGGACTTTCTAGCTCATCAAGGAACTCAATTGTTGGATTTGTTAGGACTTTACCCAGGACTTGAATGACTGGGTCATAGGCCACGTGTATGTTTAGCTTGAATCATTCTTGTAAGTGGTTACACCATCCTTCAGACTTTAAATATGGCTTCATATTCATTCACAAAAGCCTTAACAGTTGGCCAGTATCTTCAACCAAAGGACACCTAGACTTCAGATCTTCTGAGTCCAAGTCCAGTGCTTTTCACATTCAGTAAGTTCTAAACCCTTCATACTAAATACTTTCTTCTTACCAATACTTTGCTCTCTTTTTTCCTTTACTGCCTCTCAGATGCATGGACAGCTAGCTGTTCCTGGGGCTATTCTCCCCAGGGTATTTTTGTCTCAAAGAGGGTCGTTGGAGAGCCCAAAGAATAATTCTAATCGTGGGATTTTCAGGCTCCATAAAAGCTCAATCCATAGGAAAGGACAGAAGAAAGGAGAGAGGAAAGTTGTTTCAGAGAGAACTGTGCAGACTCTCTTAAGTCCCCAAGACTGTTGCTCTGAACAGAGCCATTCCTGATGGAGCACAATAGGAAATAGAAAGCTCACTTCTCATCATATGAACTTCAGAGCAAACACCTTGCATGTGTGTACGTGTGTGTGTGTGTGCGTGCGCTAAGTCACTTCAGTCGTGTCTCAGTGACCCTATGGCCTGTAGCCACCAGGCTCCTCTGTCCGTGGGATTCTCCAGGCAAGAATACTAGAATAGGTTGCCATGCCCTCCTCCAGGGAAACTTCCCAACCCAGGGATTGAACCCACGTCTCTTACATCTCCTGCATTGGCAGGCGGGTTCTTTACCACTAGTGCCACCTGGGAAGCCCCCAAACACCTTGAAAAGCTCATTTCTCCAAAACCATGCATCTACAACGGAACCAGACGGAAGCCTGAGCCATTGAATTGCCCCACGATCCTTCATTTCTCCACTCAGGAGGCCAGGAACAGAAACCTGCTGCTGGCTTCTTGAAGGATGCCTCGTATCTGAGCCCCGGGCATGAAGAAGCCTAGCAGAAAAGACTGAGAAAGATGACAGTGGAAATCAAGCCCCAGCCTCCCAACGGCTCACTCAGGTGTGCATCTGTTCCCTGATTCTGTGTAGTGATTAAAGCAAATGATTTTTTTTTTTCATATTTAGATCTTTCCTCTTCACCCTGGTCTGCTGCCTGAATTTGAATGCAGCTGAGTTAAGGGTATTAATTAATTGTGAATCACTCCCATACTTGAATAGAAGGCCTCCAGAGCCTAATGTGCAAATTTATGTAAAAACAATGTGAAAATTAGAAATGCATTGGCACATTTTTTTTTAAACCAGAACTGTAGCACTCCAGTCTAGTCAAACAGACTGCTCATTTGCAAGTTGTCTATATGCAAAGCATTCAGCCCCTGGGAGCCTCAAACCTCCTTAGCAAGTCGTCTGAAATATGAGAAGAGCTTTTGTTCCCCATCCGGGTTTTCTCTCCCTTCACTGGTCTCTCCCTTGGACCAAGGGCTGGGAGGCTTGCACCTGGCAACTCCAGGCACGGCCAGAACACGTAGCCCATCCTGGGAAAAGTCCTAGTGCTTCCACACAAGCCACAGGACCCTGATTCCCCTTTCCAGACCAGGCTCGGAGGAGTAGGAGATGCTGTGTGCCCGCAGGTCCTGGGCTAGCTCTCAGACTCTCCCTGGCAATGCTGGAGGTCAGAGCAAGGCAGCTGCTTGGAAAGCTGATCATCGACCTTAGGTAGGAGTGTGTCAAGTTCACCATTCTACATCTCTGCACCGGGCGGTCCCTTCCCTCCCCTGGCTTGGCTTGGCAGGGTGGGAGGGTGGGGAAGAGCTCGCAGAGCAGTGCCAAGGTGTAGCAGCAGAGGGCACGTTCCTGTCATCTGTGCTTGGCTGGCTGGCAGTGAGCCAGAAGGGGTCAGAGGTCAGAGTGAACCAGAAAGGGTCAGAGGTCAGAAGATGCTCAGATGCTCGGAGCCAGCCAGCAGGGCAGGGCATGTCATTCCACTCCCAGGATCAGGAGGGGGGACCCCAGATGGGAATGAGCTAGCTCTAATCTTTTAGCTAGTCTAGTCAAGGCTATGGTTTTCCCAGTGGTCATATATGGATGTGAGAGTTGGACTATAAAGAAAGCTGAGCGCAGAAGAATTGGTGCTTTTGAACTGTGGTGTTGGAGAAGACTCTTCAGAGTCCCTTGGACTGCAAGGAGATCCAAACATCAATCCTAAAGGAGATCAGTCCTGGGTGTTCATTGGAAGGACTGATGCTGAAGCTGAGACTCCAATATTTTGGCCACCTGATACAAAGAGCTGACTCATTTGAAAAGACCCTGATGTTGGGAAAGATTGAAGGCAGGAGGAGAAGGGGATGACAGAAGATGAGATGGTTGGATGGCATCCCCGACTCAATGGACATGAGTTTGGGTGTTCTCCGGGAGTTGGTGATGGACAGGGAGGCCTGGCGTGTTGCGGTTCATGGGGTTGCAAAGAGTCAGACACTACGGAGTGACTGAACTGAATTGAATCTTTTAGCCTCGGGAAGGGGAAGGGGGATGGCAGAGACAGAGGGCCTCCTAGGAACTGGCAGGCAAAGCCTATAAGCCCACCCCTGCTGGGAAGGCAGGAATGGACCCACCCATGCGGGGTAGGCAGTCATGGACCCAGACACCCAGGGAATACAACCCTGGGGCAGGCTCCTGGGACCAGCAGGGACCTTGAGTCCCTGTCACCCTTTGAGGACATGGCTCAGGGTTTTCCCAACAGCTCAGCCCCAAACGGAAGTGTCATGGTCAGGGACCCCAGCAGCTGGGACTTCTGACTCAGTTGACTCCATACCTGGCTTAGTGGCCGGCACCCCCATCGCCCACCACCCCCACCCTTACTGCCCACAGCTCCCGTTCACTCAAGTTACGACAAAGTTTGATTTCCCACACCGAGTTGCTCTGTAAACACTGTTTGCAGTAAGTCTTTCAGTACGAAAGTGACCAGTAAATGTGATTTTCACCAGCTTGGGTGCAGTTGGAGACACCCTAATGTGGGTATTGAGACCAGCGTGATGCCTGGATCAGCAACCTCATCCTGAACTGGGAGCTTGTCAGAAATGCAGACGCCTAGGGCCCATCCCAGACTTCCAGGCTCAGACTCTACCTTTTAACAAGACCCTCTGGGATTCCTGAGTCCACGAAGTTCAGAGAAACCCTTTTTAAAGGTATTTCTCTTAGTCTCCATCAGGCTAAACTGAGTTTCAGCATTTCCAGTTAATATCCGCTGGACTCAGACAGTAAAGAAGCTGCCTGCAACGCAGGAGACCCAGGTCCAGTCCCTGGGTGGGGAAGATCCCCTGGCGAAGGGAGTAGCAACGCACTCCAGTGTTCTTGCCTGGAGAATCCCACAAACAGAGGAGCCCGGTGGGCTACAGTCCATGGGGTCACAAAGAGTTGGACACGACTGAGTGACTAACACTTTCACCTTACACTTCCAACCTTGAATAAAGCACCACATTTCCTAGACCCTCAGTCCTCATCTGTAAAATGGGGGTGCTAATCCTACTTAAGGTGTTAAACTGAATAATAAACTAAAGTTTGTGTTATAAATTGCAAATCACAATCAAAACATTCAATTTTATTCTTGGGATGCACCCTGACCCAACAATTGGGTTGTAAAGCTTTGAGAACAGGAAGAATTTCTGCTCTTCCTTCTTTTTTAACCTTCCATGTACCCTAAGGACAGCGTTCTGCTTCAGGACCTCAGATCCCTATCCCCCCAAAAAAGTTTTAATTCCAGTTCCTGACATCCATCACTTTGACCTACTCCTCTGAGGTTCATCCCTCCAGCTCATTGTATTATCTCTCTGGCCATGAAGCCCTTTGATACCGTGGTGAGGCACACATAATTATGTGTAGATAACTGATGGGGCTCTCCTGGCCAGCCTTCCCACCAGAAAACACAGAAAACATCCTGCCCTTCTCTGTGTTACTCTCCCATAAGTGTGCATCAAGGCCCTACAAGTTTCTCAAACTTAAATATTCCTTCCATGAGCACTATAGACCAATACACACAGACAGATCAATGTGGAAGGAAAACTATTCGTCAAGGAACTTGGTGGTCTGGGTTCTAGCTCAAAGTCTGATACTGATCAGTAGTTTGATTTGTCACAAGGCACTGGACTTCTCAGGACCCAGTGCTCCCATATTGCACAGAGATGAGACATGCCCCTACAATGTTCTGTAATAGTCCAGGCTGATTTTAAGTGTCACTTAACTGAGATTATTTAACAAAGCTTCCCAGCATTAAACATTAACATGGCTCTTTTTATAATGCACAGTTCGTTATCATGCTAATAAATGATTAATTAGAATTCTCTGTCTGGGCCAATAATTTGGCAGGGCTTTTATGATTCATAATTTGTGCTGTGTTGTAAGGTTACCTCTCGAAACTGACATTCTAGCATTTATTGTTTTTTATTGCCTTTCTGAGGTGGCTTTGGAAGGAGACACCAGGTGACACATGTTTGAAAAGGGTTTAAAAGTTGGATGCGGTTGGAGCAGACGGTGTTCTCTAGTAGGAGCAGTGGACTGGAACTGCTGTGGACGTCAGTGAGCGTTTGAGCAGAACAGCCAGCAATGGATAACTCAATGGTCTGTTTGGCCAATGCAACAGTTTGCAATGGCACGTCCTGTCTGGTACAAGAAAGCAACTTCAACGCCGTTCTAAGTGTGGTCCTGAGCGCCGTCCTGACCATCCTGTTGGCTCTGGTGATGTTCTCCATGGGATGCAACGTGGAACTCAAGAAATTCCTAGGGCACATAAAGCGGCCATGGGGCATCTGCATTGGCTTCCTCTGTCAGTTCGGGATCATGCCCCTCACAGGATTCATCCTCTCCGTGGCCTTTAACATCATCCCCATCCAAGCTGTAGTGGTCCTCATCATGGGATGCTGTCCGGGAGGGACTTCCTCCAACATCTTGGCCTATTGGGTAGATGGCGACATGGACCTGAGGTAAGATCCGTAAAGCTCCCAATACCGCATTAATGGCTTTGAATTAACCTTCTCAGTAGCCTGTGGCATCATGAATGCCCATCTTCTCTGCCATGGATCTGCAGTCCAGCTGAGACAAGAGACGAGATGCCTTTCCTCACCTTCCTGCATGGCTGCCGTGCTGTGTGAATCTAAGGGTTCTATTCTGTGTTTGAGTTTTTGAATCTAACTCAGTTAACGAGGAGCTGGATAATTGCTGTTTCTCTTAGAGTCAAAGTTTTTCCAAAACATAAATTCTTTCCAACCCAGAAGCTACACCTGAGACAGTTTTCCTTGGCATCAGGGAAAAAAAAACTTTCTTTGAGGTGATGAGGAGTCCTGAATGCAAACATGAAATCAAATTGTCCACTAAACATTAGATGCTAGGATGAGATCACAACCAAATACAGCCAGTTTTTTTGGACAAGCTTTCTCTTGGTATAAAACCTAAAATAAAATTTTTTAAAATGTACATTTGCTTCACTCCTATTATTAATTTAATTGAATTTAAATTTTAAAAAAAGACTACAGCAGTTTTTTAAAAAATTATGCTTACCTTCCTATAAAATAAACAGAGGATGATTTCTCTGCTTCCCACAGAGTAATCTTAATTGCAATGTTTGTCCATTTTATCCTATGCTAATCTGAACTAGCACTGGGGGAAAAAATAAAAAAAACTAATCGGAATAAGGTGAAGCATTAATGGGAGGGGACCAAGAATTTTAATGCTACAAGTTGAGTAGATAAATACGATTTTCCTTCCCTCACCATTCCTCATTTCCGGTGAAAGGTGTGCATTTCTGCAAACCAGCCAGTATCAGTGTAATGTGTGCTTATTAAATACTGAACAGTAGGCAACTCTGTTCACCACCTCAGCAACAACACTCAGAAGAGAGACGCTCATAGTGTGGAAATGTAACCACCACAAACTGTCAAACTGGATTCTGGATTAACTCAGCACCTAGTGGACACGCGGGAGCCCACCACCTCACTCTGCTGCTGCCGATTTCTCCAGAAGCTTTAGAAAACCCACACCAACCATGTATCTTCACCTTACATCTCCCTCACATAAGGAAGTACCATCTCTTCCCTGTAACAGATTTTTTTCCCCCTAATGAAAGTCCTGAGAGGAGCAAAGGATGGCAAGTGTTGTTCAGGTTTAGTTAATCTGTGAACCGCCATATAGCAATAAGGCCTCCTTACATTTCAGCTTGGTTTGACCCGGATGGAGGCACAGAGGTGGGAATCTACAAGCGAGATGAGGGGAGTAAAGTGAATTGAAGACAGGACTTTGCCACCAAACAGCTTTTATGTCATATTATGTAATGCAATTTTTCAACGAAATGAAAGAACCTGTATCACCATGTAAGGCCACACGTGCGATCATCTGTAGACAGAAAAGTGTATCTAGTACTGAGTTGATCAGCTTTGGGGGTAGATTCCCTTCTGGGGGCTGAAACAGTAAAAAAAAACCTTATCTAAAGGTTCTAACTCACACTTTCCTGTGGCTAAAAGGAAATTTTATTTCTCTGGAAACAGGAGATGATTATATAATCTTGCTTCCCTTGCATAACAGTTCCTGTAAGAAATAAAAATATTAAGAAATAAGAGAGCCAGAAGTAGAATTTGAAATCACAGTGGAAAATCCCCAGCTGAATCAGCATAGATGAATCCTTCAGCAAGTCAGAAGAAGTCCTCTTATAGGACTGTGGTGTTGAAAATTGTTCATTTTCTTCCTGGATAGTGTGCATTCCACTGATTCCCTTGTCTTGTGAACAACACCAATAACCGCCCAGTGCTATCATCTTACCTCTCTAGCAATTTCACCTCTCTGGAACTCAAACAAGACCCAGCCAAAGACGTGGCACACGCAAAGTAAATCCTACTTGATCTCATAGACGTTCTTCACACAGGACCTACTTACTTGCCCAATTCTCAAGCTTTGCTGGGCTTTCACCCAGCACAGAGGATGAGAAACAAGAAGTTGGGGGTGGGGGGGCAAGGTATTAGAGGGGCAGAATTGTGTCTCATGGCAGCAAGTGGCCCCAAAATCCTGACCTCAATTTAAAATGCCTCCAAGGTGAAGAAAACAACTCACAAAACACAGCAGCACTTGTTTTTTGTGACCTCATGGACTGTAGACCCCAGGCTCCTCTGTCCATGGAATTCTCCAAGCAAGACTACTGGGGTGTGTAGCCATTCCCTTCTCCAGGGGACCCCAACCCAGGCATCAAACCCAGGTCTCCTGCATTGCAGGCAGATTCTTTACTATCTGAGCCACCGGGGAAGCCCTCAGATCTTTTAGGGACAGACAGCTGTATGAACCCATCACCCAGAAGACACCACTGCATTTTAGTGGAACAAGTAATAGGGTATCAGGAATAATAATCATTGAAAGGAGGTTAAATTATACCACAATGAAGGCGATGAATTGCATTATGCATTGCATCTGTTAGAGGAAAAACTGTTCAAATATTTTTTTCTTTAGAAAATATATTTTAGAAAAATATATCTCTAAATATATTTTCTAACTTCAGAAAAATAGATTTTCTTTAGAGCAAATTAAGAAAGTGACATTTCAGCTATTGGGAAATGGTTTGCCAACATTTTTTATTCTTTCCTTGTGAGCAGTGGATAACTAAAGTCTCATGATCATGTGTGTGGATACAATTCTATCTAACCTTTGTATTTCCAGTTCTGTCCTCTGGGCACTTTAGCTTCTCCATTTCTGCTTAAATTCTAGCAATGGCAGCCGAGATGTGACTGATTATACCAGCAGGTACCTACACTAGTTGAACAGATGGCACAGAACAGGAGCAAATCAATATCGTTTGGCTTTCACTTTCCTGGGTGTGGTTTCAGGGGGAAATCAAATTCTGTCTCTCTCACCCCATCGTCTCTTCCAAAACCTGAGAAAGTGAAAGGGAAAGGGAAGTCACTCAGTTGTGTCCGACTCTTTGCAACCCCACGGACTGTAGCCTACCATGCTTTTCTCCATGGGATTTTCCCAGCAAGAATACTGGAGTGGGCTGCCATTGCCTTCTCCAGAGGATCTTCCTGACCCAGGGATCAAACCCAGGTCTCCTGCACTGTAGGCAGACACTTTACTGTCTGAGCTACCAGGGAAGTCATCAATTTGCAGTCTCTGGTGACTTCACACACACACACACACACACACACACACACACACACACAGAGGAAAAAATAGAGACCTTGCTAATGGAATCCTTGCTCACTGATATACAGCAAGTAGTATTTCAGCTCCTTCACTCCAGCCTAGAAAGTTGTCGTGGGAATCTGATCAGGAAACAGGTGTTTTCACCTGTTCTAGCACTGTCATGGGTGCATTAGGCACAAAATGTTTCGGGGAGAAACACAAGTGTTTTCAGGTGAATTTGTCAGAGGCCCAGGCTCACGGTTCTGGGAATGAACACAGAGACCCCCACCCCCTAGGTCTGTTCTACACGCAAAGTCTCCCCGTTTTTGAACCTCCCCTTTCTTTAACAATGGCTGAGCACACACCGCACGGGCTTCCCTGGTGCCTCAGTCCTTAAAGAATCCACCTGCAATGCAGGAAACTGCCTGCAATGCAGGAGATGGAGGTTCGATCCCTGGGTCAGGAAGATCCCCTGGAGAAGGGCATGGCTACCTACTCCAGCATTCCTGCGTGGAGAATCCCATGGACAGAGGAGCCTGGTGGGCTACAGGCCATGGGGTCCCAAGAGCCAGACAAGACTTAGCGAGTAAACCACCACCACACGACCCAAGGATTTTTCCTTCCCGTTTTCTTTTTTCTCACTTCTTTGGGGAATTGCTGCCTGTGCGCCCTTTCTCCCGTTCGCCCTAATTCCTTTATTGCTATGCACAGTCTACACTAGTTTCTATTATTTTCTAGGAAAGGAGGAAATTTTCGAGGAAACTAGGAAAAGTTTCTAGATTTTCCTACTACTTCCTTTATTCTTTATCCAGCTGTCATTATATTTTTCATCTTCCGGCTTTGTGTTCACTGTTTATTTTAGTTGTTCTAGATTGACCCTTGGGCTTATCACAGTCAAAGAAATTCCTCCCATTTCAACCACATATATGTCCAGCTCTCATTTAAGAAGTAATTCAACACTGTATGATTTTCCCTTTATTTTTCCCCTCAAAGGAACTGAGGCTTGCCTCTCTCTGCAGCAATTCCTTTTATTTACTGGCAAACAGTTAGTAGATGCTATTAGGAGCCACTCACGGTATAAGTTCAGTTCAGTTCTGTTCAGTCGCTCAGTTGTGTCCGACTCTGTGACCCCATGGACTGCAGCACGCCAGGCCTCCCTGTCCATCACCAACACCCAGAGTTTGCTCAAACTCATATCCATCGAGTTGGTGATGCCATCCAAACAGTGTATTTTAATCCTCTACTGATCTACTAATCCCCTGAGGTTAGTATTAATACTACTACTTTCTGCATTTGATAAATGATGAAATTAAGGCTCCAAACCTTGACAGAGGTAACGGTCAGTGTATGTGAGAGTCCGAATCAGAATCCAGATCTACCCATTTATCCCTATCCAGACTCTGAACCTCCATTCAATGCTGATACTATGTCATCCCTTCCACTGTCCAGCCTCACCTATATCTTCTTTTGCTGTTTCAAACTTGGTGTTTCATTTCTGATTACAGTCTTTTGCATTTTTCATCACTGACTTCACCAAATTCCTCAACATTCACTGGATTCTCATTTATTGCTTTCTTTTAATTCCTAAAAGAAAACAAGAAGGGAACAAATTCTCCCTGGCAGTGAATAGGGCTAAGACAAGAATTTAAACCAAGAGATTTCTTTTTTTCTTATCTTATGTTTTCTCTTATTCCAACGTAAATGCAAGTGCACGGGAGATTGTTTCCATCGTTGGCCTCTTTGCTGTTCATTGTTGCCGTTGTTCAGTCACTCAGTTGTGTCCAACTCTTTGCAACCCCATGGACTGCAGCACGCCGGGCTTCCCTGTCCTTCACCATCTCCCAGAGCTCACTCAAACTCATGTCCGTTGAGTTGGTGATGCCATCCAACCATCTCGTCCTCTGTCGTCCTCTTCTCCTCCTTGCTCTTTGCGGAACTTCTGATTTTTTATATAAAATGATTTTTTCTTTTGTTAATTTATCCTCCTACATTGCTCCTTAAAATTGTTTATCTGAGTTGGTTTTCATCTCATTTCGAGTAGTTCAGGCCATCGATTCTCATGCCCCCTGCAGTGTTTAATGCTCCAGGTAGCCACTAAATCTAAACCGTCCCCTTCTCCAGCTCCTGTCTTGGCCCTTCTCATGGCCTCTGTGAAACTGCTCTTGCCAAACTCAAAACCATGATACAGCTTCACAAATTGTCTTAGCAGTGAGTCAGAATTGAAGCTTTCACAAAGAAATTTGAAAGAACAATAAGGAGAGAAACAGACTTCCTCCCAAAAGCCATTCTCATGGTGAAAACAAAAAGTACTCACCTTTCTCTTTGCTGTGATCTAGGTAATGAACACTGCCCCCTTCTCCACCCCACTCTCGTCATCTCCACTCTGGAAAGCATATTGAGTGTACTGGAATAAAAGTAATTTTATTATGGGGAGAACTTTAAAACTATGCTAACTTATTTTTTAAAATAAAAGATAAAAAAGAGAATGACAAAGGAAGAGAGAGGGGGATAAATTATCTGTGAACTCCAGGATTTTTACTTGTAAGTAGGATCAAGAACTGTTTATGACAAATTAACTTATTATTCTGGCATAGAACTCTGCCTTTAGCATCCTCTTGTGAATCTAAGTCAAGGCAACCTGTCACCATAATAGACTGAACCTCTTGGAAGTACTTTATGTACGTCCTCAGCATTGGTTACTGTTACACTATTTTAGCTGTATAAGACAAATTTTTTTTTTCTAAATCCTTTAAACATATTTTAAATGAGTTCATTCTGTTGTTTAAAAAAAAAAGATTATCAGGCAAGTTAAGCCCCCTGACAAACATTGCCCTATTCTTTATTTTGCAAAAACTCGGGGGTTTTTTTGGAGCGGGGGGAGCTGATGATATAAATAATTTAATATTTTCCTTGAAGTCCACGTATAATCCCTTTAAGAAATTACTACTCGGATAGTCTCAGTGCTACAACTATTAGAGGGCCTTTCAGAAAAGTCTGTGCCGAAACACAACACAGCACACACACACACATGCACACACACCCAGTGGCCAGACAGTGTTAGGGCTAACTGGCTTTTAACAAGCTCCTTGAATCATTCTAAGCGCTGGACACACCGGGTCCCTCAGCCTGTGAGTGGTAACAATCATGATCTTCATTTCAGAGAAGGAAACTGGCCAAGAGAAGTCAAGTAGGCTAAGAGTCGCGGAGGTGGCCACCCCTACTTCCGAGCCGGCCAGGGTCGGGCCCAGCCGTCTAAGGGCCCCATTTCCTGGAGAGAGACTGTGCACGAGCACCACCATGCCCCGAGTACCTCGCAGAGACTGGAAGACCCCCTTAACCCGAAAGCCCTCCTCCATCCACCACAGTGCTGCTGCAGAAGCATCACTGCACGCCCTCCACCTCCAGAGCCGAAGTCCTCCTACTCAGCCAGGCCCACTCACTCACACGCCGGTGCTCTTGGGAGGAGACTCCCAGACCTTGGTTCTCTTTCAAGTTTTTATATATATAATTTTACCTACTTATTTATTCTGTACTTTTGGCTGCCCTGGGTCTTCGTGGCCTTGTGCAGGCTTTTCTAGTTGCAGCGAGCGGGGGTTACTCTTCGTTACAGTGCTCCGGCTTCTCCTTGCGGGGCCTCTCTCTTTGCAGAGCTCGGGCTGTAGGTGCTTGGGCCTCAGTCATCATGCTCCACGGGCTCAGTAGCTGGGGCTCCTAGGCTCTAGAGCTCAGGCCAGTAGTTGTGGCATCTGGGCTCAGTTGCTCCATGGCCTATGGGATCTTCCCGGACCAGGGAATGAACCCATGTCCCCCATGTTGGCAGGTGAATTCTTATCCACTGCACCACCAGGGAAGTCCCAGACCCTGGTTCTGCTGAACTCCATTTGCTAAATTTCTTAGCAGAAGTAGAAACGAGGTCCACCCTGCCTGCCCTCCTGGTTTCTTTGGTTTTTGAAGTCGGTTTCCTCTCCTTTTCTCAAGCTTTGGGGGAGTCAAGGAATAATTTGTCTGCTTTAAGGAAAGACACTGAGACTTCTTCCCTTGGGCATGCATTCTCCTTCAGGGGCTTTGGAGACCCATCTCATCTTGACCTGGACAGACACCCCAAAGCCGTGACGTCTTGGCAGGTGTAAATATGTTTGCCGTTCTCTGATTAGAGGTTCTCAGGGCGGCATGTCCAAGCACCGTGTACCTCGTTTAACAATGAGTTTAAGTTGTCACGAAATATCTTCTCTGATGCTTGAGAAGCAATGGAAAGTGAGTGTTAGTTGCTCAGTTGTGTCTGACTCTTTGTGAACCCCATGGACTGCAACCCTCCAGGTTCCTCTTCATGGGATTCTCCAGGCAAGAATACTGGAGTGGGTTGCCATTTCCTTCTCCAGGGGATCTTCCCGACCCAGGAATCGAACCCGAGTCTCCCGCATTGCAGGCAGATTCTTTAATGTCTGAACCACTAGGGGAGACCCAGGAAGCAATGGGGAGGGAGACAAAATAGAAAGGGATTCAGTAGAGATCTCACCATCTTGTCCCTGGTGTGGCCTGCACAAGACATGTATATTTCCATCCATCAGACCAGATGGTGCAGCTTGGAGAGAGTCTTTGGCAGGACTTTCTGATCATGGGTTGAGAAAGGAAACCACCTCTTCCCTGGAAAGCCCAGGGGGCCGTGTCAACTTGCCCGTTTCCTTCCAGCATCAGCATGACCACCTGCTCCACGCTGCTCGCCCTGGGGATGATGCCACTGTGCCTGTTAATCTACACCAAAATGTGGGTTGACTCGGGGATGATCGTGATTCCCTACGATAACATAGGTAAGTCACTCATCAGGCCAGACCCTGAGCCTGGCCAGCCTGCCCTCTGCTTGTCCCTGGCTAGCTTCTCAGGCCAGGCTCAGCCTCAGCTAGACCTCACCTCTCATGCCCTCTATAGTCTGTGCAGGCTTGCTCCTTGGAAGAAAAGTTAGGACAAACCTAGGCAGCATATTAAAAAGCAGAGGCATCACTTTGCCGAAAAAGGTCCATATAGTCAAAGCTATGGTTTTCCCAGTAATGTATGGATGTGAGAGTTGGACCCAAAAAGAAAGCTGAGTGCCAAAGAAATGCTTTTGAACTGTGGTGTTGGAGAAGACTCTTGAGAGTCCCTTGGACTGCAAGGAGATCCAACCAGTCCATCCTAAAGGAGATCAGTCCTGAGTGTTCATTGGAAGGACTGATGCTGAAGCTGAAACCCCAATACTCTAGCCACCTGATGCGAAGAACAGACTCGTTTGAAAAGACCTTGATGCTGGGAAAGATTGAAGGCAGGAGAAGCGGGTCATAGAGGATGAGATGGTTGGACGGCATCACCGACTCAACGGACATGAGTTTGAGCAAACTCCTGGAGATATACTGAAGGACAGGGAAGCCTGGTGTGCTGCAGTCCATGGGTCTGCAAAGAACCAGACACAGCTTAGTGCCTGAACAACAACAAAGGACTCTAGGACAAGTCTCACCTGCGTTTGAATGAGGATTAGCAGAATCTGAATTCCAAGCCTTGAGCCCACGGGAGAGTCAATTTTGTCCTCTACTGAAATCAGCAGGGAGAGGGGCTGACGGGAGGGACCCCTGGGCACAGCCATCTGGACCTGAGGAGACTGGAGCCATAGGAGGTTCTGTCCTTCCCATAACCCAGAGCACAACTAATCCAGGGGGAGCGAGTTTGCTCCCAAACGCTCAAGTTAAAGAAATACAAAAAAACATTCCACTAATGATTTCAAAATAGGGCATCCAGTAAGCAACAGCCATGAGAAGCCTTCAGGTGAAACACACTGTTTATAACTGTACCCTAGGGACCATGTCTTGATTCAGAAGGTGATCTACCGACCCAGCTTGGATTCAGGTCCCAGGAGTCAAATGTGCGAGCTGTAACTCTTGTGTCCACTCATCTCAGCTCCCAGATGGTCACCTCCACACCCAAAGGGCCTTTTTCTGTTTGTAGGGGAACAAATAATGGTGGGAGATTAGGTCCCTGGTGGAATGTGGGGTCAAGGGCAGGACAGGATAGCTCCTGGTTTACGCAAAGCAGGTATCTGCCAGAACCAGGATCATCGCGGCTGAGATGTGGGTGAGCTAGTACCTCAGGACTCATCGCTGGTATGCTAATGGTCTTTTCTCTGCTGACCTGGGAGACACGTGTCTCCCTAATGGGCTGCCACAAAGAGGTGTGAGGGTCCCATGGAAGGGCGCACGTGAGCAAAGACTGAACGGTGCCTCAGAAAGATGGTTGGTTGTAAAAAGGATTCCTGTTGGCATGGGAAGCTGTCCCGGATGGCTTCCATTTCTAAGAAAGATAGGTTCTGTGATTTAAAAAAAAAAAAAAGCGTGATTCAGGTCTACACAACTGAATTAGAACAAACTTTGGCGCATCCCCTGGGGAAAATCTGTATTGTAGTATCTTCAGATGGTCTCTACTTTCTCTTTATTCCTACCATGGCCATTAGACAACCCCTCCTCTACCCCAAAAAAAGTGGTTCTTTTTGGCACACCTGTTCAGTATGGGGTTTCCCCTCCTGTGGTCCTTCTACTGACCCCAGGGAACTCCTTCCTGCCAGATGTCATCTACTGTAAGCAGGCCTTAGATGGCTCTGCACAACCACCTGCCTGGGCCTCACGCTGCTCAACCCCGTGTGCTGCCTGGGAGGACACCTTCCTAAACAGTGCAATTTGTTGAGTGGTGTACACTTCTCGCAGAACCTGTCTGCTGAATGAGAATGTTTAATTCTAAATCACTTGTTGTTTAAGAAGAAATTAAGTCTGAAAGTATCCTCCTCTTAATATTCATCCCCTTCTGGAAAATGCCCCCATGGCAACACGGGGAAATTCTAACTACAGTGTGAATGGTTGATAGCAAGGAAAAGAAAGTAAGAATCATCAGTACCTCAAAGGAGAAAGACGTCGTCATACAAGACATGAAGGGAAAAAAAGAAAACAGAAGTGGAGAGAAACAGAGAGGAAAAGATTAAAAAAATTTTCCATGAGAGCCTGCCAAACAAAGATATTAACTCCGCTTATTCACCTTTTTGCCCAGGCATGTTTTCCAACCTGACCTTCTTGCTATCCTTTAATGTGGAAAACACACAACCTGATTAATTAGCAAGATGCTATCACTACTTTTTCAACGAGGCAATTTAGGCCCAGGGCATATGTTTAATTTGTCCAGGATGGCCGGGGAGCTGGGAGTAGCCCTCCAATCCGCTCTCACCCTGCCCCGTGGGCAGGGCCTTTGTGCCCAGCTCCCACACAATGCTGCCGATGTTCTGCTGACTCGGCAAACACGCCCTGCGTCCCGTCAGAGGATGGGAGCTCGACGACAGAGACCGAGGCGGCAGCAACACCTCAAACGCTGCAGCAAGTCGCTGTTTCTCCTCCTCCCTGAAAGCGTTTGAAGAAGCCTGGGAGCAGGGACCGTGCGTCCCCTTCCCCATCGGATCCTCACATCAGCACCGTTAGACAGAGTGCTACCCGCCCCACAGACGGGGACACTGAGGCTCAGAGGCATGAAGAACCCTCAGTTCTCACAGCTTGCGAATAAGGTCCTGCTCTGAGTCTGTCTGGCTCCAGGTTCCACCACGTGACTCTGTCCCCCATTCTCTTTCCTTCTCTTTTTTTCTTTCTCCCTTCTTCCCTCCTCTACCTGCCGCATAAACTTGATTAAAGATCCAGTTACGGTTCTAATGGCACGAACGTAAGCAGATGCTTTCACATCTAAATAGATAGGTATTTGCCACAGACAGCTCAGGCACACGGGGAACAAGGTACATAAGATCCAGCCTGCTGGGGCGTAAACGATGACAACAACCCACCTCTCCAGGCGGGAGTCCTACACCCTGAGAGAGACGAAGGGCAAAGGGTGTCTTTTCCAGCCAACTTCGAGTCAGCTTTCAAACCTTATGCAGTCTCGTATGGATCAAGAGAGGAAATGCAACTCTGCCATCGACGTCAGCAGCTGGTCCTGCTTGTGTGTGTATCCTGCAGCCTCCGGCTGCCCCCAAAAGATAAAGACCTGGCAAGGAGGGGCCGAACACGGAGCTGGGCTGCCTTTGCACAGACCTGACACATGACAAATACACCACCAAAGCCCAATCACACTCACATTCCAATCACAGCATCAGCCCCCAGATGGAAGACACTACAGGACGGTTGGTACGCATCAGTGTGGTTTTCCTTTAAGGCGGACAAACACCCCTTTAGGGAACAGTCTGGAGACCCAGAGGAAGAATGATCCTCCCAAGAGCAGGATGCAAGGACACCCAAAGGGGATTTTTCTAGGAGCTTTTACCAGTATGTCCATCGATGACCCTTTTTCATTTCCTTTATTCCACCATTTTCTCCTTATTCTTTCATCCGTATTTTTTTTTTCTTTTCCTACTCTTGGTACACTTAATCCCATTGTGTAATTTCTGGGAAAAAGTCATTGCAGACCCTTATACTGCCAGGAGGGCTAGAAGGCTGCAAAGACATTACGTTTTCATCACTATTATATTCGTTTTAAATTGACATTTACAGCCCTGGAATCTAGAATCCATTTCCCAGTCCTAGTTCAATCCACTTCAGTACCAAGCAACTCCCACTCTCAGAATTTCATTATTCGACTCCACTTTCTCCTAGTGCTTCAAAGGGATGTTTGAAAAAGAAACAGCCTGCGAGAAAAGTTACCAGTTGTTTGGTGGTATATTATATAAAAGCAGCCATTGGACAAATGAGTGTTAAATAATAAGGAGAAACAAACCACATGTCGCAAGAACAGTAGTAAATTTAACACAGAGAAATTGAAGTATGATTCCTTTATCTGGCTGGGTGAGCACGTTCCTGCGAAGAATTATAATTACTTGAAAGGTCGCCAAATATACTATCTCATGGAAAATTTAAAGCATGCTTTTTCAGCCTATTGTCTCACCTCTCTGATGCAGGTTTGAATCACCCTAGTCAATCTTAACTCAAAGTCATTAGCCACAGAATGTCTGCAGAATCCTGAACTTTTTCTTTTATTTCTACTACTATGAAGTAACAGATGTTAAATATCATCTTTGTAAACCCCAAAAATACACACATACACACACACACACACACTTTGAAAAGATATTTTTCACTAGGATATAAAGACTCCAAACCCAAATAAGCCAAGATTCTGACAAGTTGAAACTAAAAGATATCAATTGACAAGGAAGTCTAAAAAAAGGCAGTCTTTTCTATAAAGAAGTCTAAAAAAAATTAATCTAGGATTTAGGGCAAGGATTTATATCATCAACATAATCGATTTTTCCACCAGAAATGAATTATTTGCTGAAGTAGGTGAAGAAGTAGAGTTTGGGGGAGGCTGTTTGTTTTTCGATTATTTCGTGTATTCAAGAAAGGAGTCTGATCTCTCTCCTAAACCTTTTGGAGACCACTTATTCTTGCTTTCATCTTGCCTGTGCTGCGTTCTGTCGATCACACTGCTCTCTGTCACCTTCAGGTATATCTCTGGTGGCGCTTGTTGTTCCCGTCTCCCTTGGAATGTATGTTAACCACAAGTGGCCCCGTAAAGCCAAGATCATCCTTAAGGTAAGAGTCCCATGTCACTCATGGCAAGGGCAGCACACTCAAGTGCCCCACCGTGTGTGCTGCAGAGACCGCCGACTGAGCTGGTTTGCTCACTGGATCAGAAAGCCCCCTCTGAGGGGCCTTCGTTAGTAGACACGCAGCCCACTCTTCTGGGATGCCCTTCCCTGTCCTCATGGCAAGCTTCTATCCACACTTCGGGATTCCCAGTTCACCCCATTCAAATGTCACCTCTTGGTTTTTTTCTACTCTGTACACCCACAGCACTTTATTTTACCTCTGCTATGTGGGTTTGTATTATAAAATATATCAAGACAGCTGTCTTGGAAAATAGGTCATGTCTTTCTCATCCCTGTGTCTGTATGGCCAATCCAGTGCCTGGCAATTGATAGATTTTATATTTATATAAATATGTGTGTGTGTGTGTGTATGGGTAAGTGCACATATATAGATATAAAAAATATATTAAATATATAATGCGTGTATATTAACACACATATATAGATAGAAAATGATACATATATATATATACCCATACAAATGGTGATATATATAATAAGTAACCATTCATTCCCTTTTACCAACTATGTTCTAACCAGAAGAGATGGAGATAGATGATACAGATATATAGACATGGACTGTATGTATGGTTGAGTCCCTTCACTGTTCATCTGAAACTATCTCAACATTGTTACCTGGCTATACCCCAATACAAAATTAAAAGCTCAAAAGGAAAAAAAAAAAAAGATGTATAGATATGGACAGATTCCACTTCCCATGGGTAAAATAAGCCATTTAGTGTTCTTCTTTTCCTCTCACACACAAAAAAGTTATCATCTCCATTTCTTTTTTCTAATGTGAAAAGGAGAAAGCAATAATGCTGGTTTGGTTCGCCCATGCCTTTTTAACTTTCATGGAGTTTCATCTCCATTTTCTCATTACCAAGACAATCATAAAAGGTGACTAGGGCAGGATTTCATCTTTAATCCTAGATGAAAAAGCTATGACTCGGAGAGGTTTCATGACTGACCTAAGGAAGGCAGACAGGGGGAGGTGACTTTGGAAGCCAGGTCTTCTGATTCTTCCTGGAGTGTGTTCTCCCCTGTGACAAGGATGATTTGCAAGTAGGACATCTTCTTCGGGCTAATTGAGATTAACAGCACTCCGTGTCCTGTTAATCTTCCTATGACTGGAAGCGTGGGGCAAGCACCAGCATTTCCCACCAGTCTGCCATGACCACCGGGCAAGAGCACACAGGGGGGCCACTGTTCTCATTTTCCCAGAAGGACAGAGCACCTTGGGCTTCTTCTCCCGAAAGAGCACCTGAGTTTGCTTTGACTCACGATTGTTGCTACTGTTGTGTCTTTCTTCCAGATTGGATCCATCACAGGCGTCGTGCTCATAGTGCTCATAGCCGTGGTCGGAGGCGTGCTCTACCAGAGCGCCTGGATCATAGAGCCCAAACTCTGGATCATAGGAACCGTATTTCCCATAGCTGGCTACTCCTTAGGGTTTTTTCTGGCTAGAATAGCCGGTCAGTCCTGGGACAGGTACGGTGTTTTTACTAAATCAGACTAGGAATTTTCTTCTGTAATAGCCGTTGTATTCTTCTGCTCTGTGTGGGTATGTGTACATGCGCTCAGTCGTGTCCACCTCTTTGCAACCCCGTGGACTGCAGCCTGTCAGGCTCCTCTCTCCATGAAATTTCTCAGGCAAGAATACTGGAGTGGGTCGCCGTTTCCTACTCCAAGAGATCTTCCCGATCCAGGGATCGAACCTGCGTCCCCTGCATCAGCAGGCAGATTCTTTACCACTGAGCCACCTGGGAAGCCCAACTCGTTTGCTCGGGCTGCTCAAACAAAGTACCAAAAACTGAGAGGCTTCGACAGCAGAAATTTGTCTCCCAGTTCTAGAGGATAGATGTTCAGAATCTGGGTGTCAGCAGGATCTGTCCTTTATGAGGAATAAAGGGGAGTCTGTTCAGGTCCCTCCCCTTGGCTGATAGATGCATCTTCCTGTTTCTCCTCACATTGCTTTCTTTCTATGGCTGTCTCTACATTCAAATCCCTCCTTTTTATAAAAACACTGGTCATATTGAACTAGGGTACATCCAAATCATCTGTCTTCACTATTAATAATTGTATCTTTAATGACCTTATTTCCAAACAGTGTCACAATCTGAGGTCTTGAGGGTTAGGACCTTTAGCATATGCATCTAGGAAAACTCAATTCAACCTAAAACAGCTGCAAATACAAGGCAAATTCAAAATTTCTCACCTGTCATAACATTCACCCTGTTTCTGAATACATCATTCTGTGTAGATGCATTCCTTCCTAAATTATGCCTCTTCCCCAGAAAAACAACACTGACTGCCTCTTGTTGTTCAAATCCTCCTGGAACCTCCCCTCTTCTGCGATCACATACTCTTATTCTCCAAACAAAATGACTTCCACAAAAGCATCCACATTACAAGGGTTCCTCTAGCCAGAAGGGGGATGAACTCATGATCCACACAGGTTTCAGCACGTATGGGCCTGCTACAAGGAAGGATATTTCATCTCCAACCAGCACATTGGAATGTAATTTTATTTTATAATTTTTATGTATATAAAATTTATTCAGTATTATGTTGAATAAGTATATATTACTTATAAATAAATATTATCCAACATATTAAATATAACATAAATAAATTATATACATATGTGCACTATAGAATTAGATGACAAGATACCTTCTACTGCTCAGAGGGCAAAATAAGCTAACTGGTGTTCCTTGTTCCTCTGGACCAGAAATATTATAAATCTCAATTTTTTTAATGTAAAGAGGAGAAAACAGTAGCAGCAGATTTTGTTTACACAAGACTTAACATTTATAGAGGTTTGTTTTTTTAATTTAATTTTATTTTTATTTGGAGGATAATTACTTTACAATTAGTGATGGTTTGTGCCATGCATCACCATGAATCAGCCACAGGCTGATGGCCCCTCCCACTTATACATCCTCCCCACCTCCCTCCCTATCCCACCTCTCTAGGTCGTCATAGAGGTTTTATAGAGGGTCATATCCATTTTCTGATTACTATAGCAATCATTAGGGTGACTAGAGTAAGATTTCATCTATGTATATGGAGAGAAAAAAATAAAATATCTATATTATCTAATAATATATTAATAAGTTACATGTTTGTCTAATATAAATAAAACTATGTGAATAAATGCATTAAAACAGATATACAAACATATATAGGTACTTGTTCTCATATCTCCTTTTTTCTGGAGTAATTTTTTTTTAGAATATATTGTTGTGTTACTTTGCAGTGTGCAGCAAAGTGATTATCATATACACATGCATATTATTTTTCAAATTCTTTTCCATTGTTGATTGTTAGAAGACATTGAAGGTTTCCCAGGTGGCTCAGTGAGTAAAGAATCCACCTGCAATGCAGGCGACGCAGGAGACATAGGCTCAATCCCTGGGCCTAGAAGATCCCCTGGATGAGGGCAAGGCAACCCACTCCAGTATTCTTGCCTGGAAAATCCCATGAACAGACAAGCCTGTAGATGGGCTACAGTCCATGGGTCGCGGACCCGGACACGACTGACACGACTAAAACACATATGCACGCACATGATATTGAATATAGTGCCCTGTATAGTAGGTCCCCTTGTTGAGTACCTCCTTTATATATAGTCATGTGTATCTGTTAACCCCAAACTCCTAGTTTACCCTCCCCGCCCTCCACCATCTTCTTGGTAATTGTAAATTTTCTATGCTCATATCTGCTTCTAATGTTACACAACAACAACGCAGAACAACACCCAGAAAAAACCAGTGAAAACACTGGTTCTCTGGACCTCTCCTTCAGGTGCCGAACCGTTGCTTTGGAAACAGGGATGCAGAACACACAGCTATGCTCCACCATCGTCCAGCTCTCCTTCACCCCCGAGGAGCTCAACCTCATATTCACCTTCCCGCTCATCTACAGCATCTTCCAGATCATCGCGGCAGCGCTGTTCTTAGCAGGTAAGGAACACTCACAGTCACATTTCATGGTGATGCGCATCTTTGAGGAATCCTCAAGTTGCCAGTATGGCATTTTTTAATTCCCTGTTTCTGGCAGTGAGATAAGTGGGTGGGAAAAGTCACACATAATATTATCATGACTTGATATTAAGCATATCAAGATGATGTACTGAGAAAAATGATTCCCTGGAGTAGGAAATGGCAACCCATTCCAGTGTTCTGGCCTGAGAAATTCCATGGACTGGCGGGTTACAGTCCACGGGGTCGCAAAAGTCAGATACAATGAGTGACTGAGCATACACACACACACTCACACACACACACATACACACATAGAATATTTATCAGAAAATTGGTGTAACAAGAGACATTTATCAGGCTAAGTTATATTGGAAGACATATATGTGTACATATATTATTTATATAAATATATTTGTTTATATATATTTTAGTAGCCATACAATTGAAACAGTTGAAGCACACTCATTCTTTATTTCAAGTATGAGGAATACCAATTCTGATTTTTTATTTTATTCTAACATAGCATATAGCTTTGATCCATTAGCCCCTGCCACTTGCCAGCCTTCACCCGCTTGAAAGTTTTCTCAACATTTGTTTTCTAATGACTGGTGATATTTGACCTTTATTTTCAAAATCTGGTTTTGTTTATTTTTAATAAAGAAACTTCACCTTTAAGCTTCATGGCATTTTAACAGGGACAGCATAGTGAAGGCAGATGAAAAATTAACATGACTCTTAAGTGATACAATGACCAGAGGTACAGTTTTGCTTTTTCACTTAGCTCCAATAGGTATTCAACTAGCCCATGGGAGTTAATCGTTCTCCGCGCTGTGGTCTTGAATGTCATTCTCGAAGCACAGTTTTCCTTCCTAGGATAGGACCCTCTGGATCCATTAGAAACGTTCCACTGAGTTATCACCGGTCCAAGACAGAGGGTTCCATGGCCTAATTACCTTGTTTTCCTCTTTGTTGGAGATGCACCCAATTTGGTACACTGTGGGATTTTTCCAAATAACTACTAGTGGCATCTACCAGACAAACCAGAGAAAGTAGACTGGTGATAGAAAAATCACACAGATTTACTAGTTAAATAACTAATTCAAAAGGGGTTAATAGATAAGCTGAAGGAATAATGGAAAAGTGGGTAATAGCATTGGTCTTATATTTTGCCACAGTTTTAGCAGCAAGAATATAAACAAGGAGGCACTTCTCCTAAGGACATGCAGTGCTGAGAAACATATTTTGATGAAAGGATTATAAGTTTAAATGTTTTTTGGACCAACGAAAGGAAAAAAGGACAGGAAGAAGGAAGGAAAGAAGGAAGGAGGAAATAGTTTGGTTAAATAAAATTAGTGCTAAGGTGAGGATTCCTGGCTCAAAACAGTTTATGATAAAAGTAGAATATTTTAATTAAACAGAAGCTCAATTCAATAGAGTCAATAGCTCAGTGGCTTCAAAACTAATATAATAGAAGTGCAGGAACCACCCATGGAGATATTGAGCTCAACATATTAAGACCTTGGAAGCAGGCTGTTGTCTTTCTCAGCTATGTGTCATCACAAGAGTTGGCATTTACTGATCTCTTGGTCCTCTCCTAAGGTTGTACTACACACTTGAGCATTTTATCTCACAATTGCCCTATGAGATAGATAGCACTATTATATCAATTTTAAGTGAGGTACTAGAATCTGAGGGTGCCAATAAATAATACCTCCTCTTCCCCTGTTGACTTTGGAACCAAATAAGAAGTAGAAAGGAAAAAAGTCAGATACTTAGATAACAAAATAGCACGTTTACTGTATTCACTCGATAAGGCTTAATTAGAAAATGCAGCTGGCAACAATGACCAGATGGGCTTGTTAATACCAACCCTTTTCATTGCTTCCCACGGGTGCATTTAGCACATAGATATATCAACCACAGGCTAGTCTGTCCAGGTACAAGCTGATCTCAAAAATATGCTGAGAAATGGCTGCTATGAGAGACTAGCAGCTTCATGGAAGAGAAGAAGGCTGATCACCCATCAGCCAAGGCCCCACCATCATGGGAAGAAGTGAGTGAAGGCTGGGGAAGACAGTTATTCCAGCTCAAGTCCTCCAACACAGACCAGCAGAGCAAGGTCTTGACAATGCACCTTAGCTTATTTGTTGAGGACCTGTGCATAGCTGGGAGGTGGTAGGGACAGAATACATGCTTGCTGTGGTTGTTATTGGAAAGCACCAGCAACCTAACCTATGCCTGCTGAAATCAGGGGAGCACATAGCCTCTAGCTGTGGGCTAGGTCCCTCTGAAGTGCAATTGCCCCTCTTACCATGAGTGATCCATGGAACTCAGAGTGGGGGTCGAACTCACTAGTTACCTCCCACCCACAGAAAATGCCAACTGTTTTTTGAGTCACCAATTATAATGCCTGTCCAATGTAAGTTAGCAGCTGATTATTATGAAATTTGCTTCATCTTCTATGTATTGTTTTCTAGTGTACGTGGTATACAAGAAATATTATAGAAAAAACAATGTGGAATTTCCGGAGGGCAGAGACAACAAACCAGTGCCTGATTCATCATTCCAACAGGTCAATGAAGGATTTCAACCAGACGAAAAGCAAACACCGGTGAACCAAAAAGAATCCTAAAGAATATGCTTCAGCTCTAACAATACTTAATTATTTGTTTGGATAGGATATTTGGCAGAAAAAAAGTTACAGTGAAAATTTAAATTTGAATTGAATTCATGTATTGGTTTTGGTACCAAGCGACTGGTGGTCCAAATATTTAATATAACAAATATTTGTACACATATATATATGTGTATATATATATATATACATATATATATACACACACACATATGTATACACTGGTTTTGAATATGGCCCTGAAATATCCTTGAACAGCAGACTAAACCCAACATAGGACACACCAAGAATTTAATAACCAAATTAGAATCCAGCCCATAACTCAACAGGGATTTTGTACATCTGTCACTCGGCCTTGGGAGTCCAATGATGCTCACTTGATTTTTTGTAGGAAAAACAGAATTCTTCAAACTCAATGGCTTGAATTTGGCAGAGCTCTTCAAGTCCTGGTGACTTGCCTGTATGACTCTGGTTACTATGAAAGCTAGCTGGTTCACAGGAAGCCCGCCCCCCCGCCCCCCCAGTAGACATCCTGGAGCAGAGAGGGGGGCAGCAGGCGCAGAGAGAAGGAGACGTATTGGAAGAAACAAGACTGCTCTGGTGGGTGAACTCCATTCAGTGGGAGATCATGACAAATACAAGGGAAAGCAAAGAAACCAGAAACTTGCTTGAAATGCGAGACCAGAGTCAATGCGATACACAGGAGTAAGTAGCAATAAGAATGAAGCCAGGGAGCCAGGAGGGAAATGAGTAAGGTATCACACAGTGTTTGAGGGAGAGGAGGACAAACCCAAGGGCCCAGAAGTGGGAAGGTCATCGCCAGCTGAGTCCCTGGGCTGCTGTAAACAGGTGTAACAAGAGGAACCAAAAGGGATTTGGACAGTGGCAGCGAGGTTTCAAGGCAAAGGTGGAACAGCTGGCCGACACTCGGGTCTCCATCACCAGGCTAATTTAATCTCCTTTCCTTCACCCTGCAGCGATCCGTTCTCAATTCAGTTCAGAGTGGACTAGTTCCATTTTCTGTTGGGTTGACCAAAAAATTCATTTGGGTTTTTCCATAAGATGTTACAGAAAAACCCAAATGAAGTTTTTGGCCAACCCAATACTTGGCCATTTTTCACTGCCTCATCCATTCCCTTTCAGACCTCTTGGTTTCCAAGGGCCTTTTGCATTTCGTTGGTATGAGTTCGGGTCAAGCTGGTGCCTCAACATTACAGGATCATGAATTATAGGATCAGATCTTAGCTCTTCCAGTATCAACAGGAAGGCAAGGGTGGGATGTTTCGGGAGGGACTCAGCTTTTAAATGCGGCCCATTTATGCCACGTTATACCGGGTTCACATTTACAATTGAATGAGTCCTCCGTATGCTTCTATAGTTAGGCAAACATATTAAAAGGAACTAGGGATTTATTTAAAGGCTAGTACGGGAGAGGTTTTACCAATCTTCCTATTAGGGAGGGTCAAAGACTATTGTTCCAACTTGTGCAAAAGGAAGATTTTTCAGTCTGTCAAGTTCTTCCTACACTTGTCTCATCAAATGGGAAGCAGGCAGGTGCACTAAAGACACGCCATAAATTCATATCATAATTTCAAAATGCCCCAGGTCAAGGGCCTGGATGCCAGCAGCTGCAGCAAGCAGAGTTTTCCCTCCCTGTTCATCAAGATATGTAAGTCAAACAGAATTTGGCTCTCTTATACAACGTAGTATCTTGTGAGTTGCAGTTTTTTTTTTCTAATGTGCTAGAGGGAAGAAAAATAGCTGAGCTTTCTCAAATGAAAGCTCTCTATTTTTAAATGAGTTTGAAAGCCTGATTAAATTATGTATTTTATTGCCTCTGTGAGTATCCTATTAAATGAATATTTTATTTTAAAGGCTTGAATAAATGAAAATAATTTTTGTAATGACTGGGCTGGTCTATTTGGATCTTTTCAACCACTGTCTTCAGTGTTCAGTTCCAGAAACAATAAGGTGAAGTTTTTCAAATGTTCAATTGTTTCTTGAAAAGTGCCTGAAACTCTTAATTAAATACTTTAGTAATTAGTTCTCCCACTGATACAGATTGTGGTGGTCCCCAAGAAAATCATACTGGAGGAATATTAACCAAAGATTCTTAAAAACAGGGTGACAATGCCTGATTTTAAATAATAGTAAAAGTCAGGTGGCTCAGTGTTAAGGAATCCACCCGCCCATGCAGGAGAGGTGGGAGACCCGAGTTCCATCCCCCTGTCAGGCAGATCCCCTGGAGGAGGAAATGGCACCTCACTCCAGGATTCTTGCTTGAGAAATCCCATGGACGGAGGAGCCTGGCGGGCTACAGTCCATGGGGTCACAAAGAGTCAGACACGACTGAGCACACACATAAATAAGACCACCACCACCACTTTCTATGAAAAATGTCCAGAGAGAGACAGAGAGATACTTCATTTACAGTCCTGGTGCATTAAAATCTCTCTCGTCAACAAGACTTAAAAGAAATTCAGGTTATGACCTTCACTTGACCGCTCAAAGACACCACTGTGTTCTCCACTAGGAAACTCTCTCTTCCAGAAGGGAACAAATTACCTTGCTGGGAATATCTGGCATCCCATTGCCTCTTAAACTTTTACTTCTCAAGAACCACATCAGCTTAGAACAAAGGTCTTCAGGCTGTGGTATGGATGCTCCCAGTATATGAAATTGTCCCAGGAGTGCGCAGGCCTGGACAGGGAAACAGGTCCCATTTCTTCAACTTGCGTGCATACACTTTCCCAAAGCTACCCTGCTTAAATATCCCAAAGCTTGAGATGCCCTGGGTTCTCCCTTCTCACCCCTCCTAGCAAGATGCTGTCCTTTGAAAAAGGAAAGCCTTTCTCTCACCAGCCCTCATCTTTCTATAGTGCATCAGCCCAAGATAAAAGACTTCTGAACACCAAATAAAGGAACAATTCAGAATATTAGTGTCTCATCTTTCTCAATCGTATACCTATTTATTTAAGATTTTAGAAATGGAGTGTTCTGACCTGTGTTGGGATATTTTGAATCTAGAAATACTGTACAATGAAATGGGAATGAAGATAATTTTCTGTTAACAGCCAGCATTTCCATCCTCAACTATTTACATACACACACACACACAAAGAATAAATCATCACCGTGAGAGCAATCAAGGGAGCATTGGTTAGAAACACTGAGAGAAAACACTTTAGTTTTTTCATCCAAGGATGAAAAACTTCTGGCAAATATCCAAACTTTATCTATCTTGAAGTCAGAATTCTGATGTGAAGGGATTGATACAGGAATCCACGTTGATGTACCTGTTAGAACTGAATGATAGAATTAAATATTTTTTTCTGGCAGAAAGTATGAGTTAGTGGATTGCTGGACAATTAAGAAACATGAAGGGCATTTTCCATAAAGTAGATGAGCAAAATCTGCAGCATCAATGTTTTCTAAAATATATTTAAAAACATGTCATAATATAAAATTATCCTCCAGTCAAAAATAAATAAATAAAACCTTGGAAGGAAAAATAAAACTCATTATAAAAACAAAATAATTAGACTATATAAAGACTCTTGGGCTTCCCAGGTGGCACAAGTGGTAAAGAATCCCCCTGTCAATGCAGGAGACAGAAGAGAGATGGGTTTGATCCCTGGGTCAGGAAGAGCCCCTGAAGAAGGATACGGCAACTCACTCCAGTGTCCTTTCCTGGAATATCCCATGGACAGAGGAACCTGGGAGGACCATGGAGTTGCAAAAAGTTGCACATGACTCAGCGACTGAGCACACACACACGTATAAAGACTCTTACAAACCAATAAGAAGGAAAGTGACCAAAATGAGCAAAAAATTTTGAACAGACTCTTTAGCAAAGAATGGCAATAAAGCCAATAAGAACAGGACAATGGCACACAATAAATGCAAAGATGCTCAACACCATGAAGAGTTAAGATACCTTCAAATCAAATTCACGAGGTATCACTGCACCTCAATAAAATAGCTAAAAGAAAAAAAAAAGTCACTGATGACGGAGACTTACCTGGTGGTCCTGTGGCTGAGACTTCGAGCTCCCAAAGCAAGGGACCCAGGTTTGATCCCTGCTGAGGAAACCAAATACCACATGTTGCAATGAAGATTCCACACACTGCAAGGAACATTGAAGATCCTGCATGCCACTACTAAGACTCAGCACAGCCGAATAAATAAATTACTGATGACAGCAAGTATCGATGGAGCTATGAACAGCAACTGTCAGAGACTGCTGGCAGTAGGCTCACTTCAAAACCAGTCTGCAGTTTCTAATAACGTTAAACACACACTAACTGGATAACCTGCAACCTCACTCCTAGGTGTTGACTCAGATTCTAGAAGTAAAACATAGTAACAGAAAGATCAGGGCCAGAAACCTGTAGGAGGCATGGACTGCAACAGGCTGAGGTACCATTTTGGAGTGATGGAAATGTTCCTTACCACGATGGTGGTGGGGATTACAAAATCTTAAATATTTGTCAAAATGCACAGAACTGTACTTGTAAAACTGGTGAATTTTACTCTGTGTAAATTACACCATTTATAAAACTGATTAAAAATTGATGCAAAGAGTCGACTCACTGGAAAAGATCCTGATGCTGGGAGAGATTGAAGGCAAAAAGAGAAGAGGGAGGCAGAAGATGACTCAATGAACATGAACTTGAGCAAATTCCAGGAGATAGTGAAGGACAGGGGAGCCTGGCGAGCTGCAGTCCAAGGGGTCACAAATAGTTGGACATGACTTATCAACAGAACAACAGCAAATTTATTTCATTCCCAATCATCTGTGAGAATACTGAGATAAATTTGGAGCCTCTAAGTGAAAGACGAACAGACCCTAAGAGCTATCTGATAAGGCTTAGCCAAGCCTTCTCAGTCTATTACATAGACATTGAAGCAGTGAACAGCTCAAGTTCTAGAAACCTTTGGAAAACCAGGTATTCCCAATTCTTTACTTTCAACAAAACTGAGATATTCTAGCCAGG